CGAGAATTTTATAATGAGGTTGTTAAGACGTTTTCCTTTCGTATTGCAGTAGTTTTCTATATGCTGTAGTTACACTGTGCTTTCGCTTGCGTCACAGCTTGAAAAGATGAATCTCTGTCTAGTCCAGCCCCAAGCACCTTAATCCTCACTTTTATATTCAATGGAGATTCGAAACAGGGCAAGATAGTACTAACGCTCATCCCAGCCTTAGAGAAATACAGTGCTAAGGATGCGCAGCAAATTCGACTTTGTAAGAAACGAGGGAAGAGTATAATATTTTTCTTTCGTGCGCTCTTTATTTCGGTTGATCTTGAGCTTTTTCCAAACCCTCCAGTGTTTTGCAGGCTACTGCCTCTGTTACACAACTTTGTTCTAAAAGGTATAAAAGGTATGATTATCACGAAGTTAACTGCGATTTTGGCTCAAAGTATCAGTATTATGAGGGTGTGTTCTCCCTTATTGCAGCTGTTCGACCCGAAGCTTACAATGGACATTCGAAAAACCCTAAAGCTCGAATTTTGGAGCTCTCTTTAGTAGCTTTTAAACACTTCAGGTGAGCATTGCATCGTTATTCGCTTGGAGCATGTATTCGTTCTGAGTTGAATGGCTTCATAAAGATTATCTTCTTTGAGCTACTTATTAACCATCATGATTTAGAGATGTACAAAAAGTACATCTCTGATGCTGAGACTGTACCTTTTAGATTATTGGAGGACCAAGTCAAAAAATCGCAATCTCATAAATACTATAATTCTGCACATTTTTATCTAACCCTCCTTACACATCTCTAATCTCATTTTCATGATGCTCGATTAACTAACATTTAAGAAGTTATTTTATTGGAAATTTGACAAAGACAATTCAGATTTCCGTGGGTTCGAGGTACGCTAAAAATTGCCCTAGTCGAGGGTTTGCAAATAACAAACGAGGATAAGTTAATGTATGCTCGGAAGAATCTGACCTCTGTGGTTTTTTAGTATCGCGCCTATGAAGGGCGAGGTATGGTGTGCGCAATCGCTTGTGAAAAAGCATGTAGTGTACGGAATTACTTCTATTTCACGCACAAACTCTCCTTTCCCTACAAAAAAGAAGTTTTTCAGATATGTAAATAGTGTCGAGCTATAAAATAAGCAATAAAATGAAGCAAAAGCAGATGCTTTGAATATGTCAACTGCAATTTAAACTTTACTGGATTGCGACATGACATCGCGGTGCCCAAAATCCTCAAGTTTCATTCATTTAATTGTTAAACATCGTGCACCAAGAGCTGTTTTTTATGAAAGATTTGTAGAAACTGAGAAGTAAGTGAAGAGAGCTGACGTTGGCACCCGCAATTCTTTTCCCTTCTTGATTAATTCTTTTTTTTTCTTAAATACTGCAAACAGAGGGCATTACTTTCGTATGATAGAGCAAATTTTTATTCTTCAATTTTCGTATTTTCTATGTTCCAAAACCTTGTCCCGCTTGCTACACTCGTTTAAGACCACATTAAAAGGTCTGGATAATGCCACAATCACACAATTTT